ATGTGTCGTTTTCTTGTTCAACAATCGCGAGGTTTTTAAACAGCATACATTTACTTCCATAAAAACACAATACAATACAACGCTAGCTGGCGTTTCGGCAGTATCGCCTTCTTCAGAGTCTGGAAGGGTATACTGGTATACAATCTACTAGGCCAAACGCTTCAATAACACTTACACGAAGTCGAAAGACTCTTTGGTAATTACACGATCAACAACTTCTCGAAAAACCCACCGCTTTTTCGTGACTTCCAATGAGGAAGTTTAGAACAGCTGATTATAGTCGCATGTGGTTGACGACTGCACCATCGCACATTTGGTCAGATAGTTTTCCTGCTGACATCCCGAGGAATGCAGTCATCGAAAGGTGTTGTCAATCGGTTGTGATTCATACGCATTACGTGTCCGGCCCACTTTATCTTCGACACTTAGCCATATTGCACAGCGTCCTCTATCCATGATTGCTATCGTAATTCGGAGCTTTGGTCCGCTTTCCTCACTTATGTGACACGAGGTCTTCCAGGCATCGTCCCCTCAACTGGGAGTTTCATGAGGCTGAGTGTTATTTCATCATCCTTACCTAGCGACCAGGTCTCTGACGCATAAGTTAAGGCAGGAAGAATCGTAGAGTCGAAAAGGTGGACACGGTATCGAGTGTTCTTTGTTCTCTCCAACATATCCTCGGTACTCTTGAAAGCACTCCATGCCGCTCGCTTCACCCTCTTCCACTCTGAAGCTAAGACGTTCATCACGTTGATTTCCCGACCTAGATAGACGAAGCTAGAGCACTTGGAGATATTCATTCCGTTGTGTGTGAATGGGGCTTACGAAACCAATCCGTTCCTCACATTCGTGAGGCGACAGCAAATAATAATTCGACGAAGACCGTGGTATTCGTTTTGCTGGGTTTCCAAAGACCAGAGAGGAACTTATCAGCCCAGATGCCCAGGCTTAGATATGAACCCCCAATAAACACAAAGCCATGGAGCACTTGCAATAACTGTTTCGTATTAGGTACAAACTAATTGGTCTTCGTAGATGGTGGTTCTAGGAGAACTAGCATCTTCTTAGAGCCTAATCTACCGTAAATTTCGCCCATTTAACGTCGGCATACCTCATGATATAACAAATTTCGTTTTTCAAGAATATTTTTGTTTCGAAGATTAAGTAGAACGGGAAGAAATAGGAGTCGTTTAGACCTCCTATGACTGGCACAAAGTTCTCAACATGGTTAAGATGAGAACCCCCGTCTTAGGTGCACACCATGCGCCGAAAACACTGCTCAGCGAAAAATGTTAGCGAAAAATTGTAGGTTCATAAAATAAATGGTGACTTCTGAGATAGATCCCAAGTTGCCCCTGCTACTCTACCTACCCACATCGCTGTAAACGTAAAATGTTATCTTTGAACTCAAAGAATTCACTTCTATTTGTGCAGGATTGTGCCACGGTTTTCTTTGAATAAGATTATTTGGATAATTATGTCCAATAGCGCTCTTTTTTGCTTTGTTGAGTTTCATGTTCTTAGCCTCTGTTTCACTGATACGCCCATCCGCGAAGAGCATTTTTTGGTTATAATCGAGCGACTTCATTGTTTACCATAATGTAATGGAGAACAGTTTACATGCGATAAAATCACCTTGTCGCACCGTCTTTCCTGATGGCGAAGACCAGCGAACGCAATTTGACAGCTAACCAAGAGTTCCAGAGGTAATCTCTACTCGGCCATCATTTAATTGCATTCATAAAGAATCTTAATCTTTCTATTTACTTCCTATTATAATTTTTCACGGCAGGGCATCATGTGAAATATAACCAAGATGATGCTGAGATATTTGCAAAACACCGGACCGTAGATGTTTGCGGTGAGGGACGGACGCACTATTATCCTTTCCGCAGGCCAACGCGCTCACCACCACACCATGATGGTCCTTAGTCCATCTTAGTTGTATTGATAAAAAAGTCAAATATCGCCAAGCAGCTGCCAAATTCACAGGCAAATGCAAGGAACTTCCTTGATGACGGATGCGAGGAAACGAATCGAATAGAATTGTTGGGATCCGTTCTACAAGTGGTGCCGGGTTATGCAAAATAGAAAAGAAGAATGAAAATATTTCCAAGCATAGATTTTATAGACTGGCAGGCCAGTTGTGGTGTGGAAAAGATGTGAATATGACTCGTACTTTGCCAACTGCCTATAGTAGCCGAAGATTTTAATCATTCTACCTTGGGTCATCATTGTTGATAGTGAGATATTACACATACGCAGATTCTGGGAGCGATTTTGGAGCTTTTTTGAACCACATACAATAGCCATAAATTTAAACACTCAGGTAATGATCTCCTGCAACTCGTAATGATGGTCAGTCGTGTGTTGCACTAGAATTAAACTTCAGTAGTCATATTTCGAAACCGACTTTTCTTGAACCTCGGTATCACTAATCAATATGTATTCTTTCTTTGATGAGCTTACACGAGGTTGATAATGATGTTTATTTTCGGCTAACGTTTCGACGTCTTCGTCTTCCTCAGAGCCGATGATCCGAGTCGATGGTCCTCGCTTGTTATTCGTCTCGACATGGCAGCTTCGCCTTCGTGTCGAGTCACTGCCACGTTGAGACGAATAACAAGCGAGGACCATCGACTCGGATCATCGGCTCTGAGGAAGACGAAGACGTCGAAACGTTAGCCGAAAATAAACATCATTATCAACCTAGTGTAAGCTCATCAAAGAAAGAATACTGTAAATAATAAGTTAGAACTGTGAATGTTTAAAGAGACTAGTGCGAATAAAATTTACGTGTTGACTTTTTTCTGGTTACGAAAGCATTGGCTGAGTATACTGCGTGTCGCTTTTCCTTTTCGGGCTCTGTAGAAAGCGAAGTAGCGGAATCGTCAGCCAGTACTAGATAATTCTTCTTATTGACAGCGTCGTGTCTGCATAGCAATAAAACACCGACTTATGTATTTCTTTACTAAAAGGTATTGTGTCATTAAACTCTTAAATTCGACTGTTTCCAACTTTAATATAATTTTGTTTCAGAGTAGAATCCGCTAAACTACCTTGGAGGAAAAGTTCTCGTTTTTTGTTTTTCTCCCGGACATAATCATCGCGCGCATCGTGCAGAAGTCGGTGTTATTATCAGCTAGCACAAAGCTAGTAATAGTATGAAATGCTGAGATATTTGCAAAACTTCGGACCACAGGTGTATGCAGTGGAGAACAAACACGCCCTGTTGTCCTTACCGGGGAGCAGCGCACTTCACCACTACACCATCCGGGCAGTAAATAAAAGAGTTAAGCTAGTAATAGTAATATTAAGTCTTTATTTACGCACAAGTTGACGTTTCGGCGGATTTCGCCTTCCTCAGAGCCTGGAAGGGCCAAGTTGACAGCAATCCATTCGGCCAAACACCTCTATAACCAAACAGAGAAAACGCTAAACCAAGCTTTCAATCACAATTAGCATAGCTCTGCACACTCACCGCTTTCTATGAGTCTTCCACTGAGTATGTCGCGTGAAGACCAACCGCACAGAATTCACATGGAAGCGTAATGTGCCCCTCCCATCAGAATAACAGGTTTATATACTGTCCAATATCACGCGTGATAACGAGGCATTCCTCCCTGCGGTTCATTTTCGGATTCTTGGAATTAATCCCGAATGCCTCTAGAGTTTTGCGCGCTTGTGTTCTCGATTCTTGCGCGAGGATCGTAACCCTTACTTCAAAATCTTCTCCGTTATGTTTCTGCGTGCTATGCCTACCTAGTGGAGTACTTGGCTTACGTTTGCCGACTATGTGTTCTTTTATACGTACTTCTAAACCAGTCTATCCAAAAAAACCAAATGAATATGTAAAAGGTCCCGCATTAGGTGTGTACACGCTCGTCTAGCCAAGTGCTGCTGTTAATTATTATGGCATCGTGGTCCAGCTCTACTTTGCGTTTAGAAAGCGATCTGAGTTAAGTGTTTACTTTTTTTGAATGCGATTGTATTTGCACTGTATCCTATTGCTAAACGTATTTTAGCAGATAAAGCTTTAATAGGTTATAGTTGTAGAATAAAAAAGGAGTTTAATCAATTCAACCAAACATATCGTATGGAAAGCAAAAAGTAATCCGAATGCTAGGTTAATTACATTTAACGACTAACTTCCGTCCTCCACAGTGGCTTCGGATGAGGAAGAAGGAAAAAGAGCAACCATATCTGTCCACAGTCGGTACACAGATCAATCAGATGGTGTAGTTGAGAGGAAAACATTTGCGTAGTACTGAAAAGTGGTCCTCCAATGGATTAAGAAACTTGGAGAAAAAAGGTGGTCATCTATCTTAGTAAGCGATGTGGAAAACCGTACTGGATGAATTTCTCTGTTATCGATCGAAAATAATCTTGAGCAACACGTAGATAAAGAGAAATGGAAACTGAAAGGAGAAATAATCGTTTTTTTAATTTTAGACGAAGAAAAATTAACTGCCACGACCGACTTTCTATTAACCTCGGCATTGATCAAGTAATTTTCTTCGTATTTTTGTTGAGCAAACGCGAGGTGTTATTATTCTTTGATCACGATTAAGCTGACGTTTCGCCGATCGTCCTGGAATTTGAGATTTCACGGCGTGTATTGCTCATGCTCTTGCTAACCTCAGCAGCATCAGACATCTGGAGATAACTGTGTCCTGTGTTTGTTGACGGGTTTCAATTAGTGTATTTTTCAGAGCGTTTATGATTTTAGACATTTGTTATCTAGAATGATATTGCTGATAGCGGCACACATCTCAACATCCAGCTGAAGAAGGGAAAAATGAAAAAAAAAACTCAATAAAGATAAACTATATTTTGAGCGTATTCAGATTAATGCGGTTTGGAGCTAAATCAACCAGGAGGAAACTTTTCGGATGCCATTATTTGCGCTTTCGTTGTTAGACGCAATTTGATTGTACTTTGATGTGCCTTATGGTTATCGTTTACTGGCGTTGGGTGAATGGCATTGATCAAAAGCTCCACTAATGACGACAGGCCATAGATGGCGTAGCATCAAGGATATCTTCCTCTTCAAGTCCCATCTCATCACCGAGAAGCACCTGCACGTCTACGGCTCCTGCAGAAAGATGTCCTAACAGAACGTCGGCTATTTCAAGCAAAATAAACCTCCTGGACTATGGTCTTCCAGTCGTTTTTGACGTCAACTCAACTGAGGAAGCTTCCCTAGGACTTGATGATGGAGAACCATAGGAGCGTGTTATCCGTTACCGACATGCTCCGATTCTATTGGCTGCCGAGGAGAAAACAAACGCCAGCGAAGCAGAAACTGAATAATTCCTGACACTAGTTAACTTTCAGCAGTGATTTGGGATAGAAACCTTCTTGCCATCTTAAGTATCTTCATGTTAACGATGATCCAACTTTTACATCGAAGTGTGACACCACTCATCATAGCAGTGGATAGAAAACCACGGTAGGTATTTCTATAATATAATACAGTTACAGAGGCCAAGAACATTCGCATTTAATACAGTAGAGCAATTCTGATATCCTATTAGCATTCAGTATAGTGAAGGAATTTTCATATGTCTCCGATTCCAAGAGCCGAAAACTACAAAGTTGATTTTGCCTTGAGAGTAACTGGACTTCCTGTAAAAAAAAAATAAACTCACTAATCGTATTTAAGGGTAAGCTTAACCATTGGCACGTCCTTCGCTACCTCCGTTATCGACGAGGCAGCACTGTCTAGACTGTCCGTCGAAGTGCATCGCGGCAACTGTAAGGTGCACTGCAGCTGTTCACCTCAATAAATCATCATAAAATTCATTAGCAATTAAACTCATGAGGATGAACGGCGTAATTTACAATTGTTTTTTTACACGTTCAAATACCTTCAATTGATAGTAAAAACGAGGTAATGAAAGAGTCTGTCTCATGCTATGTATGATACAAAAGAACGAAGAGTTTTCCTACCGCTAATGACCATCAAGCTTTCTAAGTAAGCTGTGGAGATGGAAAGAAATCTCACCACACCAATGAAAAGTTTAAAAAAACTGTTCACTGGCCCATAAGGCCGAGATTTCCCAGGAGCATCGCGAAAGGCCCAGGTGCCTGTTTATCCAACATAACTTCTGGTAAAAAAAAATAAAAAGTCGAATGAGGTTCGATTTCCGCAATTTCAAATGTACAGGTCGACGCGAAAATAACGGAGAGGTTGGTAAAGAATGATATTCAAAAACACATTTTGTAATAAATATCTCTTCTTCATAATGTGGCTGCAAACCATTTTAAACACTACTCTTTGCCTGACAATTTGCAATCTCGTACTTATTCCTAAAAAATAATTCACGGTGATAGTAGGCCGGTTCAAATGTTGTTCTCGAGGCATGAAAATCGTATCGTTTTGTGTCACGGATTCAATCTCGCGCCAAAAGCAACGATAGCAATCCGAAATGTCATCAAGCCATAGATTAAGGAAAGCCTTTCGATTTCCCAGAACGCAGCTGGTGTTCCAAATGTTTCCTACCGGAGATATAAGTCTTTATGTCGGGATGATTGGGGTGCTTATCAGCGAGAGGCAACGACATCTGAAACCGATAATCAAAGCTCTCCGCGCATAAAATAATTAAGGGATTGCAGACGTTCGTCATTTGCAAGACGCCGAAATTATGGGAAAACTCGATGAATTGAGCGTGAACCGCAGTACCGCATGAATTGAACGAAAACCAAAAGGATGAAGACTAATTTCGTCTTCTTTTAATCAGCGAAAACAACTTCTTTATTCCTGCATTGCATTGTAATGGACGATGAATAATGATCCTATACGACAACCGACCATATTCTTTTCAGCAACCGGACACTCGAATTTGCACCAGAAGATTGCTATGATAACTTTTCCGACAAATGGAATCCTCCAATTAATCGTCTTTAATGTTGAAGATACGATCACAATCGAGTTATGTTGCTGCGACAGTAACATCGCGAAGTCCTAGAAACTGAAGCACATATCTTTTGCAAAAAGGAGTCATTTAACCCCAGTATTATCAATACATTCTTGGATTGCTACGATAAACATTTCGACATCATCTTCACTAAAAAATATTTTATTGCTCTTCGTTATGTGCTAGCTAACATAAAACCGACTGCTCAGGATGGATAATCCCGTTGAAGAACAAATTACCAGCAGGCAGTTATATCAAAGACAAGAGTCCTGCATAGCATAGCGCTTCCGGGTGAGATTGTCTCATTCAAGCGGTGCTCCACTGAAAAGATTCGACTGAATATGACGATGAAGAAACAACATCGAGAAGATGAACGTCTATGAACCATTTACTCGAAGCATCAGCTTTGTTGAAGACGAAGACGTCGAAACGTTTGCCTTACAAACATTTTCATCAACCTCGTATAGCATATACATTCAGAAATGACAAACAGAAAAGACCCCATCCTCTTCCAAAAAAAATTTGCACACTTAACACTACAGAAGGAGCGCGTGTAGCGCATTGGTCGCAGGCGCCCTGCAATACACATGGGATCGCTCCCCGTGCCCCAGGCTCCCTACGCCATCCATCCCTCCGAGTTGTTTGGCAAATTGGTACCTGACCTGTTTGGATGGTAGTGGCACTGGCTGGATACGTCGGTAGACAATCGCAAGTCATTGTAAAGGCCAGATATGCATTCAATCACCTCCAACGATGCTTAATGAAGTCGAATGCATGGCGCATCCGTCAGGGATTGATCAACGCCGAGAGCTTTATCATTAATTTTAACGCGACAGAAATTAATTGAGTTTGACTAAGCTACCCTTCCTCATGCATTGCATCTATCGGATCATTCATTAACCACTTGTCACTTTTTCAAGAGGCCTCAGGCCGAAAAATCTCCAACAAGGAAACCGATGCTAAAAATCCCTTTGACGGATTCGCTGTTCTAAATTTTTGTCATATTATGTTCTTAAAAGAAAGAAGCTTCTACCTTGTTAGCAAAAATGTGTCCTAAACGCTCTCATTTTGATCTAGAACTATATTTTTGCCTAGATAGAATAATTAAACATTCATGCTCAAAATCGCTCTTGCAACGTTTTCTTTCATCTATCCACGACTGTAGAATTTTCCACTGGATTCCTATAATTAAGGAAAATGTCTGCACTATAGAAAATAAGCAAGATGGAATCCTCATGATCATGTGGTTCGGATTTTTGGAGGCCCAGTCGAACTTCAGATTTCAATATCAGACTAGTTACTACTGGCGTGGACACTCCCTGATGTTGGAGACGGGATAATAAGGCATGTGACGAAGTTAATACAATAAATTCGCTGTATAAACACTACGATTGAAAAGTAGTTACTTCAGAGCCGTTCTAGACTAAGCTGATTAAAATGTTCATAAGAGTTCTTGCCAACCGTCACCAAATATGGAAGGAGCCTTTTTGGTACTTTTTTAAAATCTTGAAGTCTTGTGAGTAGTAGTAAGACTACGAACAGCAATAGTAGTTTTAGCGTGGTTTGCAGCTATGGATGATGAACATCTTTTCATTATAGGTGACTGCGGTAGAGGTGAATCTAGTGACTCGACGGAGACCATCAATGATGGCTTGATTTGGTACGTTAACAAAAGCTATTCCAGTTTTTCGTGAAACACATACTATGATTCAGTGAGTGGGAAATAACAAGCCTGCGACTTTCTTGTGCAGGTTTCACATGAAATGGAGCATCCACTACATAGCATTGACAATTCTGATATAATAAGATAGTTAATCTGCTTTGTAGAAAAAACGATTACGTCGCAAAAGAAAGATACATGGTTCTTACTGGTAGAAACACAAAAAAATTCTGCCCAATAGGACATACTGGAAAGGTTCTGTCCCGGTATTCCGTGAACATCAGGGAGAGCGTCAAGCAGTTGTTGAGCACGCATGGTCTCAGTCTGTCCTAAGCGCTGTTCAGCATCCTTTTCGTCCTAAATTAATGCTGTATTCACAAGAATATTTGAACAGAAATATCTTATAGCTCGACTAGGCACAGAACTTTAACCATGATAACAATGACTTTGGAACTTTTGACATCGTAATAGAGGGACACTACGATTGAATATGTCGAGAAAAAAACTGTCGAGAAAATCCAAACGACGAAATTATTCATTAAATTCATAGATTTTGTGAAAACCCTCTCTGTAGTGATCGTTTCGCCAGAACTGAGGAAACGTGGTCATTGATTAGGACGTAGACCACCAGACAGACAGCATAACCTTCTTTGGGTACAAAAAGTAATTTCCAAGACGATTCAGCGAACACGATGTTGATGAATAGCTTTATTCAGTTAACGTTTCAGCCCCTTCACCTTCTTCATACTCGGATTGCTCCTAATTCATTGTCCACAGCTACTGCTCCTTCTTTCGATGTGGGTTTTTGTGACTCCATTGAGATGAATCCACTGCACAGAAGCACCGCTCGAATGAAGTTTCCTCAAGCGATGGAGCCTTTCTACTCAGGACGGTTGTTAGTCTATTGCCAGTTCATATGGCGTGCTTTCTCAACAGCGGCAATGAATTCTGTAGCATAACCATTTATAAGGTTCATCTCAGTGCGCTTATTTGTTGTCTTATGGGACATGAATTTTTCATCGCACACCATAAAATGAATGAAAAAATATGGAAAAGGAAAAAGAAAAGGAGGAAGCGAATTTCTCGCTTGAAAAAGATCGGTGTTGACGAGTTCTTTGTGTTGAACTCAGTTCTTGTGGTATTCATTGTGGTATACTCCGCCTTCCTAATTTCCTCAAAATGACAACGGTTCATCGCTACCTATTGAGTAGATTTTCGTCGATCAGAATAGATCACTGTTTCCAGGTCGTTGAGATTTATTTGATTTATCCGAGTTTATTCATCGTCATCATCAGAAGTACTATCATGAGCAGGAAACTTTCGAACCACTGATGCAGTTTGGGTTACGAGTGTCTCTGCGGCACAATAATCATTGATGACATTGTGAATTCATTCCGATATGGCGTGCCCAGGTTTGAACTCATAAACAAAAAACAACCTCATTTTAGATAATCTGAAGTTGCAACGAAATTGAAAAAGGGATTACACGATAGATAGCTCAGAAGTAAAAAACTCTGAAATGGTGTACCCCTACAATGCAGGCCATGAATTCGAAACCCGTAAAGAGAAATCCGTAATTGCTTTTTGCACTGATTAAATATTAGTAAAAACCACAGAAAAGGAGAACCCTACTGCACTCTTTATTTTTCACTTATCATTTTTGCAGACCGTTTAATGCTCTAACAAGGTTCTAAACAGAACCGAACTCAAGTCGAAAAGTGCCCCAAAGGTCTAAATTAACAAAAAAACGCTACCTTTTTACCCGAAACGGCTCCTAATAAATCAATCCGATCTGGGAAAAAGTGTGATATTTTGTCGTTAATTTGATTTTAACATTACGAACAGAAGCAATTTTTTATTCCTAGGCGATATTGAGGACATCAAAACGAGATTGGTAGGAACGAAAGAAAGGAAATTGAAAGAAGGCAGCCTACTTGAATGCCGTAGTTCATCCTGATGAAAGCATCGTACGGATTATTGTAGCAGAGTGTCGCTCCCTTATCGAACGCCTCGTGGTTCCGGATAGGAACTGATGTTGTCGAACCGGTCCAGTGCTCTAGAATGTCACTATGTTCGTCGAGTTTCCTCCATCTCTGCTCAGTAGTGAACAATTCCAGAAATGGAGTTTTCGAGAATAACAGAATAATTAGTAAAACCAATAATAGAAACAGAACCACAATTGTCCATTGTGCGTCTGAATCCATTAACTGAAACCACTAAATTTATCCATGTAAATAAACGTTTTACACACGTCCATAATGACGCCACTCTGAGGAAAAATTCAAGGTGGAGTATTCATGAATATCAATAGTTTAATAAAAGTGTAAAAAAAAACTAAAAGGTCTAAGATTGCTTCAGTTATAATCCACTTAGTGACTGAACAATTAGAGCAGGCATTAGTAAATCCAGAGTTCCCCAGTGGATTTTCCTCGTTGAAGAGACTTGAAAAGCACTTTCGGCGCGTTACCGCTTGCTTCTGGTGCCCTTTGTAACAGAGGGGTCATGGCTTCTTTTTTGGGTTCTGTCGTTGCTGGGTCTTTGGATAAAATTGTCGACCTCCTCAGCTCAGTAAATTCTGCATTCTAAGTGAATCCCATTTTGCGTCGCAATTTGACACCCACGAACACTCTTTTTCCTCTATTCTTCAAGACACGGTGCATATGATAAGCTTATAAATGCACTTCAAACCAATGCTTGAAGTTCCCATCTATCCTTCCTCATCAAATTAAAGCACAACCAACCGTTTTTGCTGTTTAAAATCACTTCACTAAAACTTCGTTACAGCATATAATGTAGTTCAATTTTGATTTTTGTAGTTCAATTTTCATGTTTATTGATCACTTGAATAAAAACTTCGAGCACAGACCAGATGCACTTAAAATCTATTTGCAGCTCCAAGTTGATCAACCTATCAGATGTTTTTCTCTGTTGGTTCCACTTCTGGACGTGTTGAGAACTCCATAAGCTTCCAGAGTCTCCATCCTCTTGTTACCTCATCATACGACGAAAATCAATAAGATAATGGAGTCGAGCACGATGTCAGAGCCAATAAACTTTTGGTGAAGATGGCGAAGCGATGTGTGTCGTTACCATCAGAGGCACTTCTAGTAAGCGATCAGCCGAATTAGGTGCTCTACCAATTTCTAGCTTACTCAGTAACCTTGTAGACTTTATTCTTCACATATGTAGAGAAAATCCTTCGGAAACCTTCTAAAAGAAATCGAATTTAGCATTTACAACACCGATTTCAATCTCCAGCCAACCTACTATTTTCCATCTATGGCAACATTAAACAGTGTAAAATTCATTCGACTAATAAAAGTCGAAGGCCTGAAATAACACCAAAACCAGCTCAAAACACGAAATTTAGTATAAAAATGTCATTTAATACTAGTTTTAATGAAAGACAAAGGCATCAACCCTTGCCTAAGCTCTACAAGTATTCTTTAAAATGTTGAAGCAGTGGTACTAAAATTAATGACATACTAAGAATAGTTGCATAGCCTGACAACTGGTTTCTAGAGTAGTACAAGACCCACTAAAGTTTCCATTCGTTTCTTTCTAGAGCAGTGTTTGTCAATGCCGCTGGTGTTCATCCAGCATGGCGATATCGCGACTTCGAGTCCATGATTCCATGATCCGTAAATCGTTTTCGGCTGCGGATACTTCCGTTTGTCATATAAATATTCGTCTTAGAGGTTACTTGAGTACTGTTGGAGTCCACTCAACGATTCTTTTCGTCAATCTAGGATCTGCTCTTCGTATTTTGCGACCAACCAATCTATGTTTCGATATCGACGTATATTCTCTTGGATCTCACAGACACCTTCTAAAGTTTGGACTGCTGACATGGCATAAACGTAGTGTGCATCGGTTTATTTCAAAATACTGAGTTCAAGTGTGCTTAGGGGTGGTGGGCAGAATTTTTGGCGGCATAAACACGAGTGTGAATAATTTGGCGTTTAGATCTTAAACAAACAAATCTAGGCTCATAATGAACTTTGCTACCAAGGGAAACATCCTTAGAGTTCATAGTTTTTCAATGAACAAGCTTTCATATTCAAACTCGACAGAATTCTGGTCTTCTGAAGCCGAGAAGGTGGAGCCTATCAATGGCGCGTTTAGAGGTAAGAATAAGAAATATGCTCCAAATTGAGGCCGAGAAAAGCGATATTAGATGAAACTAACACTTCTGAACCTTGCTATGCTGCATATAAGGTAGACTTATCAGTAGACTCGATATTTATAGACGGAAAATAATTGAATAAAAGCAGCTGCTGAAAATAAGGAAAAGGACAAGAAAAAAAGGAGCGATGAGGGAAATGCGTTCACAGCGCGGAATTAATGTGAGTGACAAGTGCCGAATAAATGACACATTGAGTGATGAATACGGTAATTTGGATGGTGTGTGCCAATCCTTTGTCGTCAATGAAGACGTATGCTCATGCAATGGGAAAGCGCGTTAGCATTCCGGGGCCGTACACCACTATTGCTGGCATTCTCTTTGCTTCTAACGCTATCGCTTTCTGCTATTTCACCATTGACTCATCAGAATTAGAGAGTTAAAAACTAATTAAACGATGCTGCAACCAGAAACATGCATGCTTCTTCTATAATTGATTTTTCAATCACACCGAAGACCATAAAAAAATCCCAGTGCAACCACTCTTCGCCTTTGGAGAACCGACACTGATGAAAGGATAAACGATGGAACTTCCAACGTTGTTGAATCGTTGGGAGATATACGACGAATTCGACTTCAGCAAGCAATGGAGAGGTGGTTGTATTGGCATTTGGCCTATGCGGCGCTGATGGAACGTTTGGTGAGCATGGTGCGCAGAGTCGAAGATACCGGTATTATTTGTATTGGTGGGCACCACTAACCGCTGTGTTACACAGGCATGAAGAACCAACAAATGGTTTTTAATGGTGAAAGTGAGGATCGACAACGTAGATATCCATGTTGGAGAACAAGGGTTCCGGTATTTGTCGATATCGTCAATCCCATATATAAGTGCAGCCAAGAAAATTTGCCGAATAAAACGAAAGCCGATCTTACTTTGCTGGAAACTAAAACTCCCCATATAAACCATTTTTAATTTATTGCTTGCACTCTGGTAAAATAGGACCGGTATCTAAGCTCAGTACTGGCCAAGTGAGCCTCTTCGAAAACAAAGCCTGGGAGTTTGTGAGAACGAAATTAACAGACTCTCACATTCTGTCAATTCATAGAGACTTACAATTTCATGCTGGGAGGTACTATAGATGAAATAAATCGACTAGAAAGCAGTGAATTATAGAAGAACTGAGTAGCCTCACAAACGTATTAGATCTTCAAACCTGCATAGAATTAAAATTATTTATAAACCTGACAAAACATCAAATCCGCTGACGAACAGAACAACTCTGACCATTCTTCTAAGAACTTTCGAGAAGTCAGATATTTCATTCTGGTGACCGAGTACTCGATTAATAGAGTGCCTTTACGTAGCCGAGCTCATTCCCATGAATCGCTGATGATTTATGCAATTCGTAAATCAAAAAACTTCTCACCTGTCCAAAAAGACAGGCGAATAGTTGTGGTAATAGACTAGCGGCGCTCCACTACGACTATCCTGGATCCCGAGAACAAAGTATAACACTAGCAATCAAAATATCAGTGAATAGAGAAGACGATAGTGCAGTCGCGGACTAATTTATGAAAACAACAACATCTATGAATGACGACTACATATAAGACGATGACACGACTGTAAAAAGTTCTTAAGACTGTTGGATACGTGAAGGTGAGAGTTATATATTGTGTGATAGTGTTTGGTAAGCGCTGCAAAATAAACGTTCCGTAGTGTTAACTTTTTATTTGTTGCCTACTACAATTTTTAACAGCAAGGTATGACGCGAAATAGAACCACAAGGACCCGCATGGTGTGGTGGTGAACGCGTTAGCCCCGTAATAGTGCGTTCGTTCCTCACTGCAGACACCTGTGGTCTGGAGTTTTGCAAATATCTCAGCATCATTGTGGTTCCGTTGTGTTTCATTGTGTTGGACGTGTGGACAGTGGTTAGAGGTGCCAACAGACACCGGATCATTTCTTGGCTCTATTCTGCGGCCTTGGCTCACCAAAGTTTCCGTCAAACCAGGTTAGAAAAATTGGTAACGAACTCGTTTAAGAAGATCAAGACATTAACTGCTTAACCTTTTCTCTAATGCTCATTATTTTTTTACGGCAGGGTATGATGTGAATTACAACCACTATGATGCTGAGATATTTGCTAAACTGCAGCTTAACTTAAAGAAACAAACTTCAGCGTAACTGGGTATAATGCCGGTTTGTGCTCTCCAAATCACTCCCATCGACGGGTGATTGCTAAGGGCACTGTTAGGGTAAAAAGACTGCCTGAGAGAATGGCAGACAGTGATGCCGTGCATAATACTGTGAGTCACCCTACCTGAGCCACTGGTTTCAAGACTTTGCAAAATTACTTAATTACTAGGATACTTGGATACTTGGATGGCCCGTCTTCGCTGGTTGAGTGGCCTCCAGCATTATCTCCATTCTTCGGAGATTTTCTGGTCTAGCCATTGTGGTTCCCTAGAGTCCCAAAGGCAGCCTGGCCAAAGTCTATCACAAAATTTTGCAAAATTAATAGCAAGTCACTTGGTTCTTTTAAGTGTTGGTAGTAGTTTATGAATGTTTAATTTTATAAAAACAATGAGCAAAGTGGTTCTGAAGTGCATACCATTTCTAGGATCCAATGTATTTTATGCTACTGGATACCAGGTGGTATTTGTTCACCTGTTTCGCAAACCGTCTTTTAACAGCAACAGTTGGCTCTGTCTGACATTTGCTTCTGATGTTTGTTGAAAATGCTGCCCCACTTCTGCAGAAAATTCCTGCGATGTTGCTAAGTTTGTTGAAATTGTTGTCAGAGATACAAAAGCAACAATAAGGTGTGGACAATTGATACAGGCGAACTGAATCGGCTGTTGGCTTGATCCTGCACTTAGGGTCACAAAGCATTTCATCGTTCTGGGTCGGGAAATTGGTGTAAGACTTTGTTGGAAGGACAGCAGCACTGATCTAATACATCGGTAAGCCACCACGAGTTATGGTATATGCATATACGCACTCATTCGCCTCTAATGATGCTACGAATAGAGTCGAATGCATGGCGCGTCCCACAGGGATTGGTCAACGGGAAC